CAACTTGAGTTGGTGGAAAAAAGGTATATTAGGCTGGCCAAGTGGCCATATAGGGCACTAGTGTTATTTGTGAAAAAGAAAAATGGCTCTATACATTTGTGCATAAACTATCAGTTGCTCAACAAGTATATAAAAAAGAATAAGTACTCTTTACCAAGGATTGACAACCTATTCAATAGGTTGAGAAAGGCAAAATATTTTTCGAGGATTGATCTAGGTCAGAGTACTATCACATCAAGGTAGCAGAGGAAGATGTCGAGAAGATAACTTGTTGGACAATGTATAGAAGTTTTGAGTTTCTAGTGATGCCTTTTGGGCTATGCAATGCATTAGCGATGTTCTCAGCACTGATGAATCACATTTTTGTACCCTATCTGGATCATTTTGTGGTCATCTACATTGATGACATCTTCATCTATAGCAAGACGCTAGAGGAGCATGTCAAACACTTGACAGAGGTGTTTGAGAAAGTAACAGAACACAAGTTGTATGCTAAAGAAAGCAAATTTGCTCAACAAAAGGTAAAGTAAACAATCTGAAGGCATGCCAAAGGTAAGTTAATTAGCATGGGTTAGCTAAGTCGACCAGGTGTAGGGAACTACATTTGACTCCCTGCGGGGATATTAAATCCATAAATATATTTTACAAAGGTTAGGTTCGAGTCCCAACCCTCTAGTAAAGCAAGGCTAAATTCAAATCCCAACCCTATACTATGACATGGTGAGGTGAGAGGTATAGAGACACCTATAGTCCATTGTCATGGGCTCTTGGCTGGGGAGGTTAACTTAGGCATACCGTTAAGTGGGGGGATGCCCCTAGAGACATAGTCAACAAGTCGTAAGATTAAAAAGAGACATGTATCAAACTTCTATGGGTGGTGGAGTTGTAGGAACTAACTTCCTGAGATGTTGTAGGCTAAAGGATCCCCAAAAGCACGACCGAAATGATAAAAAGTTCATCGAATAGGACCCAGTTCGAGATCAAGTTCGAGACTAACTTTGAGACCGAGTTCGAGACCAAGTCCGAGATCAAGTTTGAGACCGAGTCTGAAATCCAAGATCAGGTTCGAGACCAAGTTCGAGGTCGAGTCTGAAACAAAGTCCTAGATTTGGTCCGAAATCGAGTCCAAAATCGAGTCTGAGACTAAGTCCAAGGTCGAGTCCAAGACCAAGTCCGAGGTTGAGTCCGAGATCAAGTCCAAGACCAAGTTCAAATACCAATACAGGTCATGGGGTGAAAGCCTAAAGCGTGTGTCTCCTAGGGGGCAAGGGCGTTGTAGGGGGTTCCAAAAGTATAGTAGGGATAGTGATGTCTAATAACTAGTCTTGAAAGAACTCTCCAATGGTGCTTTCAAATTGACTTGAGGTTGAGATTGGGGCTTAGGGGCCTTGGGTGGAAGTGAGCATGGACTCGAGTGGTGTTGGAGGGGCCACCCAAGGAAGTGCTCAAGAGCAACTCTCACTCCTAGAAGGGAAACTCACTACAATGCTTCAGACTTATATGATGTGATGCTTTATTTGAATACCTTGTAGCTCATTAGTCCTCACCCTTCCTAGGGGATTAGGCCTTCCCTTCAAGATGGAAGTGGGGGAGTAAAAGTACCCATACCAAGCTGTTAAGCCATGATGTTTCCCCCCAGTATCCCAAAACAAGTGTTGCACTAAAGACTTGGGATTTAGAAGGACCCATGATCAAATATTGTTATACCAAAGGATATTAAGAACTTGGAAGTTTAGCGTGTTTGGCTGTTTATGCTTGTAGGGAGTGTAGTTGAACCTTAAGTTCAATTTAACCTGGAAAGGGGGATTGGGAAAGAATTTGGGAATCCGTGGATGGATGACTAACGCTTTGTTGCTTGTGTAGTGAGTTGTTGAAACCAAGTAAAATCAAGTAAGAGTTGGTACAATAAATGAGAACCTTAAAAAGGGAACTTAAATAAAGCCAAGACTATAGTGGTCAGATAAATGAGGTAAGTTAGCAAATTGGAAAAGCAAAATTTATGGCTTACACTTGGTTGCGAACAATTGGCTAAAGATGCATTTACTCTCTTACATAAGCACACTTTTGAAACTAATATTAAAAGTATTTACATATAAGATGAAGGGCTTAGTGTAGTGGGGGTATGCCACAACTGGAGGAGTTGTCAAAAAAATTTTAAAATCTATAAATGTCTATTTATAATCTTCAGATTATATGAAAGATAATGTGGATGACTTCAACAATGTTTGCAATAATGCAATATGATTAGAAAAATGATCAATAAAACGTCTAAGATATTGCACCTTACCATAATGGTAGCAACACTCGGGGTGGTCACTCTTATATAACCGTATATATCATCTGCATGTACAGATTGGGGTTATTTTGGGTGCAAACCATACATATACATACAGGCCTCAGGGTTGAGTTTAATTTGAAAATTTTCGTACGTACGAGTAGGGGAGGAGGTGGAGCTCCTCTAGGGCTCTCTATAGTAGCAAGTTGTAGAGGGCAATAGATCTCAAGCATAGTAGGTATGGAGCGTGATGTTATTGTGTATGTAGAGGATGGGGATCAAAAGAAACTTGTGGGTTTCGTCAGGGTTTAAAGGAAATATATATATGCTTTATGCAAAAATAACAAAATATTCCACGTATATATAAGAATTGGGGGTTTATTTAAGATTTGAAAAAATACTTATATGTAAGGGTATGGGGCAAATTATGAACAACAAAAAAAGTATACTAGGCCCCCTATTCTAAACTTCCAGAACGCAGATGATATATAATGCTTATAAAGAGTGACCACCCTGAGTAGCAACACTAGAAATATCCACCTTAGCTTTTAGTATCTAAAAGAACTTAAAAGCAAGTATTATTTATTGTTGATAATTATTTGGTGAACTAATAGCTTTACCCTAAACAATTTAAGAGATTAGTAGTGTGAAGAAAAATGGTACATATTTGAGATAATCATATTATTAAATAAACATTAGTCAATGCTAAATTGAATATTCCCTAAGGTTCATACACCCTAATACTTTGAGACTTTTGAATAACAAGCCAAGATCTTATGAATGGATATCAAGAAAATGTTAAAGAAGGGTCTTTTGGTGACTGATACCAAATTAAATTTTTTATTGGACAAGCATCTTTAGTTGGAACAGAATGATACATTACAATCTTAACCCCATAAAATAAATCAAGGTTGAAAAAATTAACATACTTCTTCTTGAGTTGGTCAAATGCAATAGCATAAAGACCATCTAAAGGGTCTAGAAAGAGAATAAAAGAGTAAGAAGGAAATTCAATAAATAATAATGAAAAAAATGAAAGGAATAAAAGAGACATAAGGGAGTATGAGACAAGTTAAAAATTTGATTTAACACTACCTTATAATCACCAATACATACAACTAAGTTCACATTGTCTCACCTATTTGCATGTGTACTGCCATTGTTATAAAGAATGAAGATTGGCTCTACTACACAATATAAATGTAAATAGGATATAGCAATAGGCTAAACAATAGAAAATAAACTCAAACCCATATTAACTAACACATAAAAGATAACATGAGACTTTTTATTATAAAAATGAATTTAGAAAGTGAATATTGTATAAACTTTTGACAAGTGAACCCTTTAGTGGTAGGATGGAGGGGTCACTGACTTATTTGTAAAAAGACACTCCATTACTTCTATAACTTTTTATTTTTTGAAAGAATCTTTACATTGACACCAATATGATATTGTTGAACCAAGGCCTTCATTTAGTAATGGAAAATGCTAATTTGGGAAACATTGATACATATGGACAATTTTATCACACATCAATAGCACACATCACAGCCATATCCTCATCCTTATCTTCATCATTGAACACAAGCATTAGTAACATCAACTTCCATCAAAACTAGATTATCTTTTATGGGAAATAGAGTTGAAGCACATCTATCTATAAATGGGAGAAATGATGTTTTATAACATTATATTATTCAAAGAGTGTTGGCAAGGGTGGTTCAACTAGCATATGTATAAATCCCATAAGATTTTGACAAAGCATTAGTTATAAAATTCTCAAATTGATTCACTTTGACATATTTAGTTCTGCACAAAGCAAGAAGCTTTTAAAGCAAATACTAAGTTACATAATGAACTTAAATGGCACTTGACAAAGATGATACACTTGTTAGAAGATATTATTATAATTATCAATATGTCCAACTGCACATTTAAAAACATCTAGGAGAAGATTCCAATTTGTATGGGTGGTTGCACTTAGACCATTATAACTATTGCAATACTATCTTTGAAGACAAGTGGAAAACTTATACAAATGCTAAATATCATCCCAAAAAATGATAAATGGAAATCATTACAAATTAATCAACCCAATGGTACACATCATTGCTAGAATTCCTATAAATGAAATATAGCTAGCCACAAAAATTGATTGTAAAAACAATTAAGTCTGATTGTTCAATTGTAACCATATAATATCAAACAATTGCACCAGCTACAAGAGGGGCTACTATAAGAATATTTAAAGAATATAAAAGCTAAATCTAAACAAAAATAAATATCAAATCACTCATTAGACAATTAAAGTTACACTATATCTTTCTGCTAATCCAAATAATTTGTTATGCATTGCATGTAGCAATGCTTGGTTTGCTTAATAGTAGTATTATTCCTACTTATCAATCTAATTGATCAAATAAAAATTTAGAATTATAAATATGTTTATAATTTATAAATACAAGATTAATTTTATTGCATATCAAGTTTATAAATTATAAACATGTTATAAATTATAAATACAAAATTATTATAAATTAATAACAAGCGTTAGATAGTAAAATATCCTAGAATTTTCAAGCAATTTCTAAATATATTCACTAAGCAAACCAAAAATTTTTAATAACCATTTCAAAAACACAAGCAATGCCAAAAAGTTGATGTTTCAATAACCATTTCAAATACACATATTAAAATATTATTAGAATATTCCCTTGGTTCCACAGGATACTTTTTTACAAGACTAGAAAAATCTGGCGTTATAGTCTTCCTCCACAAATCCAGCAAGAATGACAGCATCCTTTTGCCAGCCGAGAAAATCCTTCAGTTTTTCCGGTGGCGCCGCAAATGCCGTCGAGAGTGTCTCCTCGTCTAAAGCTTTCAAGACCGAGCTCGCACCTAAAACGTCACAAAGTTAGCGTAGAACAAGGGAGAAACACCAAACGTACCACACAGGAACTGGGGATTATTGGGTGCCGCCGACGTGCTGAATCCCACAAACTCGAGAGCACCCTCGCGAGAAGCAATCTGGCTCATCGGGAAGTAGCGAGGAACAAAGACGATGGTGCCCTCCTTGACGGACTTGTTGAGCGCGCTGGTACCGTTTGGAAAAGAGATCTGGAAGACGCCTTGGCCTTTGGTCACTAGAGCGATTTCGGCTGCTCGTGGATTCCAGTGTGGAGCAAGAATAGCGGCCTAGACAAAAACAAGGAAGGAAAATGGTTTGTGGAGAAACGGATGAAACCCGGAAGACTTACGGGTTTCAGCGAGACTGCAAAAACTCCAACGCTAGCGTTTCGCAACGGAGCGTACTGGCGTCCATCCACAGCAATTGTCCGGCCGTTGTCGTTCTCGAAGTCGGGCTTTTTCTTAAAGAGGTTGAAAGGCTTGGCAGGCGAACTGGACTTGCCGCCACCATTGTCAAAGAGCTCTGACGAAAAGCTGGAAATGTAGTTCAGCCAGGACCAGGACCAGGAGGCTCTTGAGCTCTTTGATTTCCTGGAAACAAGCTCCTGGAACCGTGCCTGCGATGTGTAGACGATCGGACCTTGGTCCTGGTTGCTCAGCACTTCAATCACTTCCTCGGACGACACCTGAAAGAGTTTTCAGAAAAGTTTCGAGGAAAATCCAGGCTACTTGACCTTGAAGGACGCAGCTAGAACGTCCGAGTCGAAACCTGAGAGAATGGTCAGTGGATTTGTTCCACCACCAACAAACGCGGACTGCCAGAGAAAAGTCTCTAATCAAAACAATGATGCTAAGCAAATCAGCTTACTTGGAAGACTCCAGTCTCGAGACTTTCTGAGGTGTCGAACATGCCAAAAACTCGCAGCCTCTGTGCCTCATCCGTGTTAAGGATGTAAAAGACGAGGCCTCCAGGAATCACATAGATATCTCCAGCTTCAAGGTCTTGCTGGTTCAATCCATCTTCCACCCATCCAAGTCTCATCTTTCCTGAAAAGAAACGAAGAAAAGAAGCTCCTCGACCAAGAAAAAGATCCCAAGTACCTTTGAGAACGTAGAGGACGCAAGGAGCATCGATGTACTGCGGCAGGAGGAGCGCCTTGGGCTCCATTGTGATGAAGTTAACACCAATGTTGTTCGATCCCAAAACGCCAGCCTTGTCCTTCCTGCCGGGAAGAACGTGGATCTTCCCCGCCTCGGTGCTCACTATCTCCACAGGCTTCTCAAGAACAAATGGGTTCCTGCCCTTGTGCTTCGAGCTGTGCCCTTCATCGTCGTCCTCATCGCGATGTTTGCCTCCTTCGCGATCATCCTCATCGTGATCTTTGCCTCCTTCGCGATCATCGTCCTCACCCTCGTCTTCGCGATCGCGATGCCGCGGCTCTCGATCGCCATTGGACGCCGCATCGAGCCGGAATCCTCCCCGCGCGACGACGGCCTGGAGAACCAGTAGCAATGCTAGGAGAACTAGCCAGATCCGAGGAGAAGCCATGATATTCTGGGCAAGAATAGACGATCAGCACCGAAATCTACCCCAAGATCGTCCAGACTGGAAGAGCGCTTACCTCAAGAACACGCGGGAGAAGAAAGATGGGGTTCCATTCTCCTGTCCAATTGGCCTTCTTATCAAAGCTTACGCTTCGTGCATGCATGCGTAGAGCCGCCAATTGGCGCCACTATCACCGTCGGATCCAGGCCATGATCAACGGTTGAAATTTACATAAATTCCTTCCTCTGTACAAGGAATGAAAAAAATAAAATAAAAACTCTCTTTTCCACAGAACTTTGGTTCTTTGGATCTTTGGCGCTGTGATTTTGAGAAGATCGATCAAGCTTTCTGTGGCTCTGTCAAGAATCTGTTCACAGTAGCAACTATGGCATCGATCTCGTCGTTGGAAAATCTCTGCTGGATGTTTTGGATAATCTGCTCGCGAGAAAAAAAGAAAAAAAGCCATCCTTTAGAGCCGATCTGATGCGAGAAAAAACTTTCACGTACCAAGTAGAGCTGGACTGGATCGGGCCTTAAGTTTGCTATCTGGATGCGTTCCAGCGGGCAAAGTCGACGGATCAGTGGCTCTCGAGAAAGTTTTCTCAAGTCTTCGATGCTCTGCAACGCTGCCGGGGTCTGGAGGAGATATCTACGGACCTGTCGAGGAGAGCCAACCATCATAAACACATCCAGACTCCTCGGGTTGCGAGCATACCAAAACTTCCGACTGGCTGATGCCATCCCTGCTTTGCAGAAGATCGAGCACTTCAAAGTTGCTCAGTCGGCCACAATCAGCTTCGAGACTGCCAGGAAAAACGAAGAAATCCATCACAAACTTCAACGAAAGGAGGAAAACTCACTTACACTTTTGTGTTGAGTGGTTCTCTCCTTGCTGTTGGCTCTTGCTTATCGGGCTGGCGGACAGAAATCTCCACAGTAGACTCACCGAGAGAAGGACTGTCCGTTTTCAACCGTTTCGGCTGAAGGTGACGAGAACCCAGCAGTTTATTGGTGGAGCCGCCAGCCGTTTTGATGTCACTCGAGAATTCCTTGAGTGTCTCGGCAACTTCCTGTTCCTCCACTCTCGCAGTAGCACTTTCATCCATCTCCTCGCCCTCGATCGCGCTGGAAACGCCCACCAATCTATCCGGCCGTTCGGGATTGTCATCTTCAAGCCATGGAGCTCGAGAGCAACCTTGCGAGCTTTCAGGAGGAAGCGGCGGTGGCTCGTCGTCGTCTTCCTCCTCCTCGTCATTGTCACTCTCCGTCTCGGTCTCCTCCTCAAGCACCTCGTCCTCCAAGTCGTCCTCCATAAATCTCTTCCTGTGAATCACCTGTAGAGAGCTCCAGCGAAACCTCTCCATCCGCTCGAACGCCACCACTGGCTCGTAGTGAGCAAACGAGAACCCATGATAGTTGCTATGGTAGACGAGCCGCATAACGTTGTCACTGTGATCTTCCTCGTCGCCCAAGATCTTCCCAGTGTCCGCGAGCCAGATCTGTATCGGCCTCCCCAGGAGCTCTTGCAACCAAAATGCGCAGAAGTGATCCCCCCAGAGCCCCCCACACGAGGCGCTCAGCCGCATCTTACACAAGTAGACCAGCGCGGCGTCCTTCTCTGTGAGCTTGATCCTCCCCAGCTCTGGGTGGAGCTCCTGCAAATTCTCCAGCACCAGGAAATTCTCCATCCACTCCATCGCCTTGGGGTCCTTGCGGTGGAATTTCTCCCTGTACAAGCTCACCATCGCCCGCCGGAGGCACACGGAGCTCTCGTAGGCCTCCTCCTCGCCCAGGAGATAGAGCACGGAATCGAAAAGGCAGTCGCCGGCGCTGTAGGGGTAGCCCACGATCCGGCGCAGCCCCTTGCTGCGCAGCACGCGATCAATGTAAGGAACCTGGAAAATCCGCCGCGCGGGGCGCAGCCAGGAAGAGCCCTCGTCCTCGTCGATCGCGCCCATGAACCCTAGCACAGGGTTTTAGATTTTAGGGCTTCTGTGGCCATTTTCCCGCCCCGGTCTTTTAGGGCACGGAAATAGTACAGAGCATTAGGGTTAGGTCTACCTAAAAATATAACGCACGACCTTTGCCTGGCTCCTCATGTTCTTTTGTCCTCCAAAGCCATGCACCTACAAATACTACTAGTTTACAACGATTCGTGCTATAAAACCACACAAATGGATTCAATCGATCGATCAAACTTTCAAACCATCTATCTCTAAGATGGCCAGGCTCAATTTGGCTATCATCTCGCTGGTGTTCTTGGGTACCGTACTGGGATCAAGAGGGCAGTACGAGTACGACGATGACAACGTTGTTGCCATTAGCGAGAACAGTACGCTGTACGGACTGAGCGAGGATTTCTATAGGCACGCTTGTCCCCAGGTCTACTCCATCGTCAGGGCTGGAGTGGAGGCCGCGATTAAGATCCAGCAGCGCAATGCGGCATCGCTGCTACGCCTCTTCTTCCACGACTGCTTCGTCCAAGTAAAGCTCTCTTAACCCTGGATTGATCGATAGAACGATAGCTGCTCAATGCTTTTCTTTACTTCCAGGGATGCGATGCGTCGCTGCTCCTCGATGACGCGCCCTTCTTCATCGGCGAGAAAACTGCCGCCGCCAACAATCAATCGGCTCGAGGATTCGAGTTCATCGACGTGATCAAAGCGAGCGTCGAGGAAGCGTGCCCTCTCACCGTCTCCTGCGCTGATATTCTCGCCATCGTGGCCAGGGACGCCGTTGTCTTGGTAAGCATGTGAACTTCCCCTCTTGTTTCCTCCTATTTCCCTCTGGTTACCCCCGCATTGCCTTTTTTCCCTCTATTTCCCTCGTGTTTTCCCAGAATTTCTGACGCACGGCGCTATGACATGGACAGAGTGGAGGACCCAACTGGGAAGTAGCGCTCGGGCGGAGGGACAGCCTCACGGCGAGCCGAGCAGCGTCGGATCATTTCATCCCGGATCCCACGTACGATCTCCCCCAACTTCTCTCATCCTTCCAGGCGATGGGCCTGGGCGCCGAGGATCTAGTCTCGCTCGTCGGAGCTCACACAATGGGCTTCTCGCGATGTACGAGCTTTGAGCAGCGGATCTACAACCAGAGCGGAACCCACCACCCGGATCTTAACATCGAGCCCGGGTTTCTCAAGCAGCTCCACGATCGATGCCCGCCCCACGGCGATCCAAACACGCTCCAGCCCCTCGACTGGGAGTCCCCGGCCTCATTCGACAATGGCTACTACAAGAACTTGGTGTCCCAAAGCGCGGTGCTCCACTCGGACGGGACGCTCTACTCGGAGGCGATCGCGGGGTTTGCAGGGATTCGCGAGCTCGTGGAGAAGTTTGCCGAGGACGAGCAGGCATTCTTCGCGAGCTTTGCGAGATCGATCGTGAGGATGGGGAACTTGAGGCCGCTGATCGGGGACAAGGGCGAGGTGAGAAAGAACTGCCGGAGAGTGAACCCCAAGTTCTAAGAAGAGGTTGATATAAGGTGGCGAAATCGGAAAGTCAATAAAAGTGTAGGTAAATGCAATAAGATATTATCTCGGCCTAACTTCATCACTTGCTTCTATCATTTTTCCTTTCTTCTTGATCAAGAGGATGTGCTTCAAGCTGTTTTTTGCATCTTTTTCCATCTTTGTGACAATGATCAAGATTGGCCACTGTGATCTTCTCAATTGTCTCTTGCCACGGTCGCCTTCGTCGAGAAACTTGGTGTACTACATCCATGGGATCCGGGTTCCAGCGAATTCTTCCCAGGTACAAAGCATCTTGCCCTTTCAAGGCCAGCAATTTCTGGTCCAGCGACCTTTCCCAAACGGCTATGGAGAAGTTTTCAGGAACAAGATCACCGAGAGCTACGAGTACGACTCTCGCCAGATCGGAGTGTACCAAGGAAGCTACCCGACAGTCCGAGATGGATCCGTGGTCTCGCTGCGCGGGACGATCTCACTCGCGACCAGCGATGGCGTTCGTGCCCGGTTTAACGTGAGGGGCCCCTACGATTTCTCGCAGCTCACGTCCATCATGCCAATCTCGGGAACTCTCGGCGGTCGAAGCTTTCTGGGGATCCAAAATGCGACCGTGCTCTTCGCGTATGGACGAAATGGTGTGGTTAAAGGCCAGGCAAAGATCTGTGTGTAGAAGTTTGACCGTGGTTGACTTTAATTGACAAGCTTTGAGTTTGACTAACCGTGGACCTTGTAAATTGACTATGTTTGACTGCGTGGGAATGTAATGTTCCATGAATGCGCCCCACCTACATTGCTCAGGTCTTTAAACGAGACCTGTCAGAATCGAAGGAGGTGTATAGAACAATAAAGGGAAAAGAAGAACAGGAGATTGGAGTTTGGAGTTTCCAAGCAAAGCGCCAATGGAGAAAAATCTTCACCGCCTTGTCTTGGGCCTGTATCTCCTCAATGCGTGGGGAGGAGCGAGCGCGAGCCTGGTGCCCGCATTGTTCGTGTTTGGCGACTCGACGCTGGACACGGGCAATCTCAACTACAGGCCCAACACCGTGCATTTGATCCGGACGGAAGAGCTTCCCTATGGCCGCGACTTCGTTCCTCCGGGGCCGACTGGGCGAGCCTCCAATGGCAAGCTCGCCACAGATTTCTTGGGTAAGCCCACGATCGATCCCGTCCTCTATCTCTCTCTTTCTTTCTCGGGAGTTTTTTGATCGATCCTCTTGATCAGCGGGGTTTCTGGGGCTTCCCACTCCAATTGACGATCTCGAGCCGGACGCGCAGGGGCGAAAGCTCTTCCAAGGGATCAACTTCGCGGCCGGAGGCTCCGGCATTCTTAATGGCACAGGACTGGTACGTACTATAGCGACAGGATCGTCAGGAAGTTTGGTTCTTTACTGTTCTTGAGAAAAGTTTGAAAAGTTTGGTCTCTTTGTCGTGATTCCCAGACGACCGTATCCCTGTCGCAGCAGCTTGATGCCTTTGAGGGCTCCATCGCCAGCATCAACAAACTCATGGGATCACAGGAATCATCCAGGCTCCTCGCAAACTCGCTCTTTCTCCTCAGCACTGGGAACAACGATCTCTTCAACTACGTCTACAATCCAAAGGCGAGGTTTCGCTACTCCCCGGAGTCTTATAACACTCTTCTCCTCTCCACGCTTTCCAGAGATCTCGAGGTCTGTAAAATCACAAGCACATCGATACGTATGATCGATCTTTGGTTGTTTTTCTTTAGAGACTTTACAGCTTGGGAGCTCGAAAGCTCGTCGTCCTCTCGCTTGGTCCCCTCGGATGCACGCCACTCATGCTTAATCTTCTCAACTCGGACGGCTCCTGCATTGGCGAGGTGAATAATCAAGCCAAGAACTTCAACGCGGGCTTGCAATCGCTGCTCGCCGGGCTGCAAACCAAACTTCCCGGGAGCCGGCTGCTCTACGCAAACGCGTACGACATTCTCTTCAGCGCAATCCAGGACCCCCGAAAACACGGTAAGTTCTCCAGAAGCTCTTCGTCTCGTTTCGAGCAAAAGATTTGATTGATTGATTGATCATCGGTGGTTTTGTTCGAGCAGGCTTTCGATACGGGAACGTTGCTTGTTGTGGATCTGGGAAGTTTCTGGGGTCAGTTTTGCAGACTTGCAGTGGCCGGACTTCAGTGTGCGCTGATTCGAACGAATACGTCTTTTGGGACATGGTGCATCCTACACAAGCCATGTACAAGCTCGTCACAGACGAACTCTATGCCGAGCTTGTGAAATTCATCCTCTAAAATCTAATACATATGTTAATGATCATATAGTATGAACTTGCATTGAAATGTTAAGAAAGCATTGAGATATTTCATAATCATATTATTGTTTGGGGTGGCCGTATTTTTATTTCGAGGGATTCAATGGTTTGCTAAAGTACTCGTTGAGACCGGGCATGATCTGCGTCTTCTTATCACGCAAGAACCTTCGCAATGGATGGTTGTGATAGACTTCTCCCTAGCTGTGGTTATCCAGCCGTCCATACTTTCTATCGTCTTTGTTCACCCTTTTTACAGATCAAATTACCATGAACTCTACCATGAGGAGAAAAGATTTTTACCTCACTTCTGGATCAGTGATGAGCTTTCTTGCGGAGAGATAAGCCGCCAATCCAACGGCGCCAATCACGAAAACTCCCAATGGATACACTTCCGGCTTGAGCCAGCGTTTCCTAAACGTAGCGTCCATTCCTTTAGCTTTTCCTTGGCCACTAGAACTTTTTGAACGCGGTATATTCCTGTATATTCCAGCTCTAAGAATATACCATCTGGAGCTTAGAATATTCCTGCGAGACATCAGACTTTCCGGAAAGGAACTTTAAACAACCAGAAAATAAAAATAAATTTTAAACAGTCTCTTGAGTTTGATCATTGTTATTGCCACGAACAACACTCGATCGATCCAGAAAGAGGAATCGATGGATCAAGCAAGAAAATTGTGCTCACTTGGGCCGCGATCCCTTCTTCTTCCCGGCCGCGGCAGCGCTGGCGGCAGCCTTGGTCTTGACCGGATTGATCGAGGCGGCGGCGACGTCTGGATCGAGCCACTTGAGAGAATGGCGATTGAAGAAGGGCCAATTGGGCACGGTGATGAGCACAGTGAGGATCACACCTCCGGCGTAGACGAGCATCATCAGCTGGAACGATGTGCGGAAGTAGCCGGCGAGGAACGCAGCAATCGCCCATCCCACCAGCATGTACTGCATCAGCTCCTCGGCCAGCTTCTGCCCCTTCCAATCCATCGCGGAGATCGATCGATCGATCGAGAGAGAGAGAGCGCAAGAGAAAGAGATCGCGCAGCGCGAGCGCCAAACAAACCCTAGCCCCGAGAAGCCCTAAAAAAGATCTTGTCGAGGAGAGGGAGTATAGGCTAGGGTTTCGTGACGAGCGGGGGCGGCAGTGGAGCTTTCGGCGCAGCGGCATTGGCGATTCTCGCGTCGGCATCATCGATCCAGGCTCGCATCTGTAAGCGCGCCTCGAATTTTGGGATAGGTTTTAGTGCTGCTACTCGGGAAGAATCGTCCGATTCCAACGATAGATCGAGCTGCTGTACAGGGAGCCGAGGGGATTCCATTCCTTTCTGATTTTCGCTTGCATTCTTTCGTCCATGGCGGGGCTGCTTGGCGGTGATCCTGCTCAGTTGAATTTGGATGCCGGTGGCTCGTCGGCCATTTTGCAAGGCAAACTCGAGGAGGCCGACCACTCCAGCACAAATTGGTACTTTCCCAGGGAAGAACTTGACAGGACATCGCCATCGCTCCGTGATGGAATCGACTCGAGAAGGGAGACTTACTTTCGAAAGTCCTACTGTACTTTTTTACAGGACCTCGGCATGCGACTAAAAGTGTAAGCTTGTTCTCTTCTCCTTCGTCTTGTTCTTCTCGGATTTTTCTTTCTTTTCTTCTCTCACTCAGACTCATTGACGGTTTGATTTTTTTTCTTGTTCTTTCGTTCTTTGCAGCCCACAGGTGACTATTGCCACCGCAATTACATTTTGTCATCGTTTCTATCTTCGGCAATCCCATGCAAGAAACGATAGATTTGTAAGTTCTGAGTTACTGTTGACGCCTAGCTGATACTGATAAGCTTCGTACCGATCTAGATGATTGCTACTGTGTGTATGTTCTTGGCGGGGAAAGTGGAAGAAACCCCTCGCGTCTTGAAAGACGTAATATATGTTTCTTATACTCTTAGGAATAAGAAGGACCCTTCTGCAAATAATCGGATCAAACAAAAGGTCTGAAACTTTTTCTCTACTGGTTTTCTCTGCTGCTACTGCTGAAAATCTGCGTGGAAAACTCTCTCCAGGATTTGTACGAGGCACAAAAGCAGCTTGTGCTGTACGGGGAGCGCCTCGTCCTCACTACACTAGGATTCGATCTAAACGTTCACCATCCATACAGACCGCTGGTGGCCGCCATAAAAAAGTTCAACGTCTCTCAACATGCGCTGGCTCAAGTTGCGTGGAACTTTGTCAATGATGGGTAAGCTCTCGCACACCAGTAGGAACTTCAGTCTCGACTGGAGTGTTGGAGTCCGTGTTGTTTCATCACTTTGATGAGATGGGAATGAAGCAGTGGAAGGGATGTGCAGGCTACGCACATCGCTCTGCCTGCAGTTCAAGCCGCACCACATCGCCGCTGGTGCCATTTTCCTGGCTGCAAAGTTTCTTAAGGTGAAGCTGCCGATCGATGGTGAGCGGGCTTGGTGGCAAGAGTTTGATGTCACGCCTCGGCAACTGGAAGGTACGTTCTCTGGACTTTGATAGACTCTAGTTTCCATTGTTCTTTTTTGTTTCATTTTCATGGTCGTATTGAGAAAGGGATGCACGTCTCCTATTTTTTTGCAGAAGTCAGCAATCAAATGCTGGAACTCTACGAGCAGAACAGGGCGGGACAAAACTCTCGAAGTGACGCGCTGGAAGATCCAAACGCAAGCGACAGGAACGGGGTGGAGCCGGCAGCAAACGGCCACCTCCCGCCGGAGGAGCAGCGACGGGAAGCCGCCCTTCCACCACGCGAGGTGGAAAACAACAGAGATGGCCACTACGAGATGGAGCGGGCGCAAGCACGGCCAAAACAGGTACCCGAGACTCAGAATGGTTACGACAGTAGAACCAGGGGGGAGGCCGGCGATCGAAGAAGGGTGGCGGATCAAACCGACACCGCCCGTGACGAAGTTCACCACAAAGACTTTGCGGACAGCAACTTGGATGATAGAGTGGAGAGAGTACAGCAACAACAACAGGATTCCAGCAAGAGGAAACGAGAGATGATCGAGAAGAAGTGGTCCAAGCCCGAGGAAGGCGAGCTTCCTCCAAGCCGGGGCGAGGATCAACAGCAACACTACCATTCATCGTCACGGCCGACTGGAGAGAAACGCTACGATTCTAGCGACCGGGACTATCGTAGCAGCCGAGAGTCTGGACAGGATTATCGCCACCACAGCAGCGACCACCACGGAAGTTATCACTACCAGGGTGGCGGCGGCGAGAACCGGAGCCGGAATCACTCCAAGGATCGAGGAGAGTGGCAAGAGCGGGATCAAAAGAAGAACCGGCACAAGTACTCGTGAAGAAAAAAGACGAGAAAAGGCTTAACTAGTACGAAATGCTTCCGTGTTGTACGATTCGGGGGTTTGGTACGGCGTCCGGTGTTTTGACTTGAATTGGTGTCGTTGTCAACGGTGGTCTCGAGATTTTCACCCCATGTGATCGACCGAGGTAAACAAATATTTTCCGTTGACGACGTTGACATACCGCCGCCTCAAAAGGAGAGATTATTTTTTTCACCTCATGATAAAAAGCGCGTGGTAAACATTCGTACTGTAACTTTGGTGATCTTAGAAACCACGAGAAAAGGTGTTACCTTGTCCTGGATGGATGGATTTAGCAAAGATTGGAAATATTTTTCTCGTGGTGATGTTCTTGGAACCATGGGAATGGATCACGTCGATTCAAAGACAATGACGTTCTTCTCTCCTTTCCTCGGTTGCATACATAGTACTCCAGGGCAGACCTTTTGCGTTGTTTATAGTTTAGTTTCGCAGAGACAATGGTGGTGGTGGCCCCAAGAAATCCCACGAAGAACCCTAAAATCTCAACGGTCGCGATTGGCCAGGCCCCGGGCAATCAAGGGCTAACGGGAAAACCAGCGCGATCGGGGGATCGTTGTCCCTCATCAATGTCGGAGGCCGCCGACCGCGTTCTCGATCGTTGGATGGCGAGAAAAAAACTGCAATTAAAAACGATATAAAAACGAGTTAATGCAATTAATATTAGTGAGGAAAATGGGAAAAAAAGGTGGAAACGAAGAAGTCGCAGTTATTATTTTGTGATTATTTACTGATTTGATCTTCTCGAACGTGGACATTGATAGGTGCGGAGATTTTCGTACTTTGCGCGCGTAGATGCGTGCATACATACGCTTTGGTGGTGGCGCTACCCTTTTTCTTCTTTCTTGTGTGTTGTAATTTTGCTGTTCTTGATTTAGGGTTCTTCGCTTCTTCTCCAAATGGATCCATTCCAGGGCGATGTGTTTGGCGAATTCGCGCACGACGACGAGTCGCTCAATCAGCTCGTCGGCAGCGGCTCCTTCTGCTGCGCTTTCTCCCAGGATCATCATCAGCACCACCATCAATGCCCTTCGTTCTCGCTCGACGCCGCCTCCAGCACCTGCGACCATCTCCTCTCGCCTTCCGACACCGATTCCTTCGGAATTCCTGGCAAGAATCACAGCCCCGGCTCCGCCTCCGAGAACCTGTCCATCATCTCCTCTTCTTGCGGCGGCGCGTCGTGCTTCCTCGAATTTGGCGGCGCTGGCGCTGGCGCTGGCTCCACCGACAGCAGCCCCGCCTCGTCCATCGTGGAGCAAGCCGCCGCTTACACCACCGCCGCTGGCTTCGATCATCCTCCTCCTCCGCCACCGCCCCCGGTCGATCTCCATGGCGCCGCGTCGCTGCTCGAATCTTGGCACTTTCTCCAGTACGAGTCTCTCCCAGGTCTGCTGCATATCCCAGAGCCTGTGGATCACTTCTCCAAGCTCTCGGGATCCTCCTCCTCGCCGCCATCGTTCGACCTCCTCCCCGGTGGCACTGCCTCGTCCCATGACGACGTGATCATCCTCGGCAGCTTGCTCGATCACCACCACCCGCATTCTCGAGCTCACGAGGTCATGATCCAGCAGCAAGAAAACGCTCCCCGAGCCGGCGATGATCGTCACGTCCCTGAGCAGGAGCTTGCCCGCGGTGCTCGCCTCGCGCCTTGCAGTGACGATGATCACACCGATATCGACATGATCGATCGCCGCGAGCTTTGCAGCAGCAAGGAGCAGCCCAAGCTCATGGAGGTCGAAGCCTCGCCTCCAGTGGCAGCGTCTCATCAGTCCAACAAGCGTCAGCGTGGATGCTTCACGCTCCAGAACGTCTCCGAGTCACTCCAGCACCACTCGGTGATCTTCCACAACGTCGGAGTGGCGGCCAAATTGTCCGAGGCAATGCTCCTCCAGATCAACAGCAGTGTGGCGAGGAATCCATCTCCAGTATCTCCAGTCGCAGCTTCGGCTCGGAATCCAAGCAGCACCATCACCAGCAGCAGCGCCACCACCACTACCAGCACTGGCAGCGGCGGTGGCGGCCATGGATCATTCTCGTATCGATTCAAGGAGACGGTGGAGCCGCAAAGCATCGCGGCGAGGCAGCGGCGGAAGAAGATCAGCGAGAGGGTCCGGGAGCTGGAGAAGCTGGTCCCGGGCGGGAACAAGCTGGATACGGCGTCGATGCTGGACGAGGCCATACGGTTCGTCAAGTTCCTCCAGATACAGGTCCAGCTTCTTGAGGCCGTTGGTAATGGAGGGCATGGGAATTATGGCGCTAATAATCACTGCCTTAACGTGCCTCTTAATCACCAGGCCAGGATGTTTCCGTTTTCCTCATCGCCCAGTTCCTCCATAGCCATCTCTTCTCCTTGTTCTTCTTCCTCGTCCTCTTCTTCTTCTTCTTGTGCTTCCTCGTCGTGTAACTTGGCTTCCATGGCGATCGCGACGAGCTCGGTGGTGGCGATGAGCCCGGCCTCGATCGCGGACTCGGTGCTGCTGCTGGGATCCAGGAGGAGTTCGTCCGCGAGCTCGTCCTCGCCGCTGGTGCTCACCGAGACGCTGCAGCATGCCCTGTTCAAGCACAAGCGCTGCGTTGCGACGATCCAGCAGTGTCCAGTGGAGCACTTGCTGCTGTGATCGTCGAATCTCGATCCAGTAGTCAGCATTATCTTCTAGGATTAGTGCTCTTGAGTTGAAAACGTTGGATGTTTCTCCATGCTAGACTATGATTGTATCAATATTTAACTTTTCTCAAAGCAAAGCAGTTTACCATATAAGACACCAATTGTAATGATCAAAAAGATGATCAAGAAACATCGGCTCTGCCCGAAAACTTTAGACACGAACTTTTGAAGTGCAGCAACTTGCAAGTATTTTAAAGTTTTTCGAATTCTTTTCTAGTTATTTAAAAGCGCTTTTCAAATTCTTTGTGAGTTCTGTGAAGATGATGATATAACAAATAAAAAATCGACAGTATGCTTAGAAAAAGGAGAGAAAAACAGCAAAGGACACATGAAGCTGCAGTCTCCATCGCAAGAATTCAATGTGGAATGTTTTCAGATTGAATGGAATAGATATGTTGCGTGGGGAATCATGATCCTCATATGAAACCTCGAGTTAATGTAGGCACATATCACACATCAGTCTGATTGTTAGGGTGATGCCTTTCGGTTTGAACAATCCTCGCAACAGAAAAGAAAAACATAAACAAATCATATGCACTTCCCTTTCACTGTGGTTATTGGAGTCCAGCCAAATGATTCCCAAGTAGCAGCCGTCCGTATATTCCAAATTCGACCATATGCTGCCTGCATGCACACACAGACACCAACAATCAATTCTTTGAAATTGTGCGTGTGCACGCGACTGATGTTTCAACCATTATTATTACTATTATTTTAGAAAAGTTTAAAAGTAATCTTCAGCCCAGCTCCAGATAGTGATAGACAAGTTGTAACAAGGCTCTAGTTTTTCATATGCAATCAAGGTGGCCATCAAAACACTTACAGGCAGCAACCGCGCTAAATTAACTCTTTCTCTTTCTCGCTCGCTCGGCTTGGGCCTTGCTTTCTCCTCTGCGTTTAATTTCGCTCTGGGAGATCTTTTGATTGCGTTGTTATGATCCATGAATGTTTTGCATTGACCTGTGGCAAGAAATCGATAACCACACAATAATGTTTCTCCCTGTAGCTTGATTTCTTTGAAAGGAATGAAAGAGATGCACGTATGCATGCATACCTGGTCCGAAACGCGTGTGTCCTCACGTCCACCTTCATTCTCGGCGTTATCTCCCGGATGGAGATTGTTCGTGGAGATGGAGCTCATCCATCTTCACTCGCATTATAATGCCTGGGAAAGGAAAAGAAAACAACTTGCTCCAAACTCGGAGAGACCTTTCACTCACGTCAATCGCTTCACTCACTTCTCACTGCTACTCTCTCGGTCGTTTGGCTTACCCATCGCGCCGTTCCAACCAAGGGCTTGGTCCAAAATGGTCGATTTTGATCCTTGTGGCGCGTATGAACTCCCTTTAAGTGCCTGACGAAACTCTGTACCATGTTACGTTGTCTTAAGATAAAACGCGGTGTGGCTCATGCCTGCGTGTAATCATAATGTTTGCTGTCAAGGAGAAATATAATGGCTTTAACGAGCTTCGACTTGCCTGCTTCCATGGTGAGTGCTGGTTCCAGAGCGTTGCTAACTGGCGCCACTACCTGCGAATCCATAACACTGCTGAGTCGTACTGCGATTGAAAGCCCCGCAGGGTATTAACCTTGGCTGGTCGGTCGTGCACGGTTTGTCTCGCTCAAACGCGTAGGGGCTATATGAGACAAAGCCGAGTGAACATCATGTAGCTGCAAATAAGAACTTACCAGCCGGTGCTCGGGAGCTTTCCTTGCTCTCAAACAAGGAGAGAAAAACTCGTGCTGCATTGCCTCGCGAGCGCTTATCCTCTCTTCGGGGTTAGCTTTCAGGCACTTGCTGATCAGGTCGAGAAAAGAAGAAGGTAGTTCAGGTGATTTGATCCACTCGGATATGGAGGTACCATCACAATCGTGTTTCAGTTCCTGAACGGCAAGCTTTTGATAAAACCAAGAAAGAGAGATAAAAAATAAAATCGTTCTACCTCAAGGAAGCACGTTTTTTTGGTTCCCACGAGTTCTTTCAACTCCCTTGTACCACATAGCTTTGCAATCTCCTGGATTGTCCTGCAGCATGCGTATGAAGAGCAATAAGAGAAGTTTCTTAAATGCAACAGATGGTCGTACTTGGGGACTCCACCGTTAGAAAAGGGCAGCTTTCCAGTTGCGATCTGGAGTAGCGTTACAGCAGCGGACCAGATGTCAACCTTTACAGTTTGTGGAGAACCCAGCAAAACCTGTATCCAAGTGATCACATAGAGTGAAAAGTGCAGGAAAAATCAGCTAAGTACCTCTGGGGCGCCATATCCTTTTGTTCCAACGCAAGCTATTCTCCCTGGTTTTACAACTTCAGAGGGTCAGCACGGCTGTAGAACAAATGCTTACGTCGATCGAGAGAACAAGACGGATAGATTGTTGCGAGCGGCTTGATATCTGTGACTGACGTCGGCTTCAAACCCACTCTCTTGCGAGCCTGGTTGGAAGGGATATTGCTCGTCACATATTCCCTGAGAGGCTTTCTTGTCATCTGCACAGGCTGCATGTGTTCCTAAAGAGCAGAAATTCATCTCAAGAAGTTATAGCACAACATGGAATAGCCTACCTGAGACTTATAGTCAGCCGAACGTAATCTCTTTAGCATTTTATCGAAATCTTCGGCGTCTGCCTCCAGTCGAGAGCACTGTAATAAGGCGTTCCGTTCCTCTGTGAAAGTAATGTCGGCTGGCAGACTGCATTGCATCTGTCTGTTTTGGTTTGGCAGTCTTCCTGATCACATAAAGAACTTTCCATAAATTGCTAGAATAGATTGCCAATAGAATGCTTACTTTTAGCCCTTCCAGCGAGATCCTGTTCCTTGCAATAACGAAAGTTAGCATCCAGATAATAAAACTATAAAAGCGTACCAATGCAAGATTAAAATCCACTAAATGCCCCACTTTGCTTTTCCTTGAATAGAGGAAATTTCCTGGCTTCACATCCCTGTGTATAATGTTCTGCAGAAGTTCAAATGTAAAAACAGTGTTGACAAAAAAAAAAAAAAACAGGCCAACCTTTTGGTGCATGTAATTCAGCGCTTTGAACAGATGAAAACCATACGATCGTAGATCATTCATACTAATGTCTTTCTTCAGCGACTGTAACAAATTAAGTTAGTCTAGAAAGTGGAAGAATAGTGTAAAACCTGAATGCTGTCGTATTCGACATGTTCCAGAACAAGATATTTCTTTTCACCGTCTCTAATGACTTCCTCCAACCTGATTATGCTGTGCTTGCCTCTATGTAAAGCAGAAACATCAAACGAAATCTTACGAGAATAAAGATAAGCTTACCCAAACAATTTCAGCAATTTTATCTCCTTGTCAACACTCGCAGCAATTTTATCTCCTTGAAGTGGACCTGTGAGAATCGTTAGCAAAAGCCCTGGCCCAAAAAATATACAAAGAAACAACGCACACTTGATGGCAAAGAGCCGGCCATCTCCAAAGCGCCTCGCCTTAAAAACCACGCTATAAGCTCCTGAAAATATAAAGTTAGAGGATGGAATCTAGAGCGAAAGAATTAAAATGAGAAAAAGGAAAAGAATTACCCGAGCCTTCCACGCCTTCTATCCTGTAGTTCTGCAAATTTGGAATGGGGATTGGTCCCTATGAAAGCCAGAAGTTAGGCTAGAAAGAAAGCTCCAAAAGAAGGCTACCTTTGTTCTATGGTGGAAAACTTCGTCGATGGCTTTAGCACTGTGTGGCGCTATCGGAACAAGCTCATGAGCGACCTCTTGCCTTTGATCCTCGTTGTCGGGAACTAAATTTGAAGCCTCGAATTCGAGGACAGTCTCACCTTGGAGATCGTCTGGGGCTTCGAGACAAGCCCTTTGATCTACCGGCAAAGAATCCACGTCCGCGGCGACACCATTTCCTTTGCCCTGATTACCGTCACGATTGGCGCCGGAGAGCTCCAGATCTTCTTTTGCCTCGCACTCCACAGCACCAGAGTCGCACCTATCGGCGCCAGGGCAAGAGATGAAGAGCCTTCTGGCTTTTCCCTTGAGAGGAGGCGGCGGCTCTTCCTCTGGTCGCCTTCTTTTCTCCAGACAGCTGCCTACCTGCGATGGATCCACATCCAGCTTCCTGCGAATGTAGCCGCGAAATCGCGAGAGCAATGCGATGGAGAATCCCGCCATCGCTACGCCACGGTTGCGCGCGATCTGAAGAACCCTAGGTAGCAAAAAGTAGCGGGAAAATTTCAAGTGATCTATTAGGGTTTATGGTTTTAGGGCTATGGCATTGAGGCTTCGTCTCCGCTTCGATGGCGCTTGCGGCCTCGCGAAGAATTCGCAGGGCATGCTGCAGTGGTGGTTCTCGGTCTCGGATTCCATGGCGACAATCGCTGATCTCGCCGCGGGGATTGTGTCGTTCTTCCACTTACAGCGCTCTTGTCCTTACGGTGTTCTTCTCCTGGTAAGCATGTAAGAAGTGAATGTAGGCCTCTTAATCGATCGACCAGATGGAAGATTTCGCTCTGCCGCCCTTGCAATCGATCGGCTTGCTGAGTGACAAGGATATCATCACGTAAGTTTTTTCAATGTTCGTTCCTTCTCTTGAAAATGTAATCGTTTGTTTTGCAGTGTGAAGCCTTTGGAATTTCCTCCACACGCGCCTTTGAAATGGGGACAGCTCCCAGAAGAAGACGATGGCAACAAAGTGCTGAGAATTTGCGCTCAAGATGAGTTTGAAAAGGAGTCGGGCGGATACAAAAGCGAAGACGAAGGGCTCGCACAGACAGCTTCCATCGACGAAGATTTTCCGAGAAGGCCAAGGTCTTTGCAAATGAAAGAGAGGTACCGTGTTTTATTTTTTTTTCCTTTGCTGCCTTTGTGACTTGGAAACATTCTTTAGGCTGAAGAAGATGTTAAAACCCGTGGCCAAAGTTTTCAAACGTAAGACTGCCAATGTTGACAAGAAGCCGAAAAGAAAGTAAGATTGTGTGATATATTTGTGCGTTGTTTCTATAGCGCCGATTTGCAGGAAACAAGCAGAAAAAGATGAAACCGAAAACGGTGAGGTGTTGTCGAGCAAGAAGACCAAGAAAAAGAAGAGAAAGATCGAAGAAGAGGAGGACGACAGCTCAGAAGACGATAAACATGAAGTCCAAAAAGATGAGCCCAGGTACACATTTTAGGCTCTCGTGTACGCTTGTTGTCTTGTGGCATAAGTTGTTCTCACGTCTTATGACATATCAGAAATGACGAGCCCAAGAACAACGAAGCACAAGAAAAGGTAGACGCTTATTATTGAAAGATACTCAACGAAGATTGTATTGCAGACCATTAGTAGGAGTTCTCGAAGGAAGAAAGCAAAACGTGCTTGGCTAAGAACGAACAAGCTCGCACAGGCTGCGGAAGTGAGTTTCTTGTTTTCTCATGTGTCCCAAAACACTATTTCCATTGCAGGTTGGTCGTGAAAACACTACAGTTGACATTCAGTTGCCAGAGGAGCAAGTTGCGAAGCCTACGGTAGTAGCTCCCGGGCATATACGATTTGAACCTCTTGATTCTGGTATGTGAGCTTCTCTCAAGAGTAAGATTCTGACTCTCGTGAAATGGCTGTGCAGATGAAAACGAGAGCACTCCTGTGGTAAGCTTGGTGTTAGAGATGTTTGCTTGATAATTGAACAACCGGTTTTTTTGCAGCCTATGAATTTTGGTGGTGGACTTAAAAGCAAGAAGCAGGGGCAGAGTTGGGGCCAGCAGAAGCGATCAGGACGCCAGGAGAGAACGTGGAACAGCACAGTGGGAGAAGAAGCAAGAACAGTCCAAGAATACAAGACCATTGCAGAGGCAACGCTCGATTTTAACAGCCTTCCGCTGCTGCAAGGCATTCCAGAGGTTTAAATTGATTCCAGAATTTGTTTCAGTTGACGGAAGTTTTTACTTTGCGGCAGGAGGGAGATGTTCTTGCTTACAAACTGGTGGAGCTATCCACATCTGGAACACCGGAGGTTTCTTCATTCAGAGTAAGTTTCAACTCCACAAGTCTCTTAGTCCTTAAAGCCTGTGTGGTTTGACAGGTGGGAAAGGTTACAATCTACGACAATAACTCGAAGGTTGTGAAACTGGTTCCAGTCCAGGACTATCCACTGGAAAGAATAAATGAGGAGTCGGAATTCCCCGAGCCTTACCAGGAAGATGGCTCGCTCGAGGTAAATGCCGTGGACGTGTTTTTGGCACTAGAGTTTCCATGATTCCAGATGGATATCTCACTCCTTGTGGAAGCGCACATACTCCAAGGGAACACCACAACGAGCACACAGAACACAAAGACGACACCTTCTGGTATGAAACTCTCCTTCAAATTTTCAAACTTCCAAAACTCTCTACTGCAGAGAATGGTTTGCTTCCTGAGCCAGCGAACAAAAAAGAGGAAGAGCTCAAGGTCCCTCCAACAAAAGCCGAGAGGTGGCAGATCAAATCCATGAAAGCTGCCGGCTTGAGCGCTACACTGGATCGGCTACGCGCTACATGCCTAGACGAGTGAGAGCTCCTCAAATTAGATCCGCGAAGAACGACGAAGAGCCACCACCAGGTACGTGACTCTTCCCCCTCCTGTCCATCTCTTCCTCGTTTCTAACGCTCGCATTCGCAGAGCCACCGTTGCTAGAGGCGGAGTTACCAGTCATGTCCCAGAGCTTCAAAACTTGATCGTGAGAAACGCTTCCCAGCACCGACTTATCAAACGAAAACGCCAGCCTCTCCACTGGGAAGTCCGAGTGCTCGCCAATCACGCCAGTGATCCGGTTTGGCAGTATGGAAACTTGGCGGATGATCCCATCGCTGGAACCGGTGATGAGCGTCGCCTCATCCAGCTTGAGCATGGAATCCACGGAGCTGGGATGACCCACGAAGCGATCGTCGCAGTCCTGGAACTCACCCCACGAGTAGAGCAATAGAACTCCACTTTGCGATCCACACACTACTTTGGTGCGTTGTTTAGCGAGAACCACCGAGAGGAGCTCGTCCTCGGAGAACTCGGACCGAAAATCCACCTTGTTCCTTCGCAAGCTGCTCACTGCTAGCGTTCCATCGCCGCTGACGCTCAGGAGCTCCATCATCTCGCCCACGAACTCGAGATCGCTGACGAAGTCCTCGTGCGCGGCGATGGATCCAACGCAGCGGCTCTGGCGGGTGTCCCAGATCTTGATGGTGCCGCCGTCGTCGCCCGTGGCGATGGTGGTGTCGGTGAGATTGACGATGCGGTTGATCGCGGTGTCGTGCGCGTCGGGGAATCGCGAGACGCGCTGCCCGGATTCTACTCCCGTGGCGTCGATGGAGCGATCCGGGGAGACGGAGAGGAGGATCTCGCCGGCGTTGACGAAGGCGAGGCCGCGGCAGGATTCCTTGTGTGGGCGGCAGGACCAGAGGCGGCGCGGCGGCGGAGGATCATCGGCGGCGCAATCGGCGTACCTGTAGAGGTGGATGCGGCCAGAGACGAGGCCGGCGGCGACAAGCGGCGAGGAGGGATGGAATGCGAGGTCGAATGGCACGGATTTGAAGTGGATCTCCATGGCCGCGGCGCGCAAGAACCCTAAAAACCCAAAACCTCTTAGAGCTTTATGAATGGAATGGAATGTTCTCCAAAACAAAACAAAGGAAAAAATGCTGGGGAATTCGCGAAGCTATGGATCATCTTTGTGGCTCCAATGGCGGCTTCCCTGTCATGTTGGCAACGACCTGCGCAAGAGAATCGATCTAAATGAGAAGAGGAGGAGAGATTCTTGAGCTCAAACTCACGGATTTAAGATTGGGGTTTGGAGGCTGCTCGGATTTGTAGAGCGCCTCGCGCAGCGGAGGAACAACGAGCGGAAGAATCAATCCTGCCCACCAAAATCAAAGACTTTGACCCCCAAACTGCGAGAGATCGCTCAATTCCACTCACCGATCGATGCTACGATGCCGCTGATCACTAAAACCGGCTGGTTGAGCACCAGCGCCTTCATCTTCACATTGAATCCATGCGTGTCCCCCATTTTGCCTCTCCTCTCCCTCGCTAGAACCCTAGAATCTCTTCTAGCCCTAGCACCACATTTCTTGCCACGTGTCAGTACGAAGAATATTTTAAATTTAAAAAAGTGATTCCTCTTTCCTCGATTCATCCATGCCTTTCGGTTGCCTCAACTGTCAGCCTAAAGTGGCGCGCCGACGGCCTCCAGCGCGCCACGTGGCCGTCTCGAAGCGTTCCCTGGATTCATGGGAATGCATATAGCTAGGCGCGATGAGAGAGATCCAAAGTAGAGAAGAAGAGGGCCAAATATATTTTAGGGTTCTTGGGCGCGCGCGCGCGCGGGGCTCTCGTCCAATGCCGGCTACCGGCCGATGAGACGGCGGCGGCACGATGGTATGTAGAGAGGAATGGCGACTGCACGATCGATTCTCCAGGTCGTTGAGAGCTTCCAAAAGTCGCGCACGCTGTTTGCCCGGACGATCGCGGAGCTCGCTCTAAAGCCACAGGTATACTGCCTAAATCCAAGAACACCGCAGCTTAATCTCTATGCAAGGTAAGCTGGAACAAGATCTTTCGATTTGATAGAGATCCAAGAATTCCTTTTTCTTCTTCCTCGTGCTTGATCTGTGCTTGTTTGTGATCGCAGAACGTGGAGATTCTCCACAATGCCGGTGTTCTGGTCTTGCTGCGACCACTCTTGCTGGATTGCATCCCACAAATCCAGCAATTGGCAGCGCTGGGCCTCTCCCGGCTCGCAAACTACAGCGAAGAGCTAGCGGAGGTTTTTGTCACGGAGAAAATCCTCCAGCAAGTTCTATTCCCCCTCAGGTAACTCGCCATACAAAAAAATTTCTGTCCAAAAGAATTCTCCTCCATCTCTAATCGTTTTTCTCTCCTCTTACCTCTCAGAGATATCAATCGTCACAACAAGAAGGCCGCCGCGAATGTCCTGCGAGCTGTGGCCAAGCACACGGCGCCCCTGGCACAGGCGGTGGTGGAGTCTGGAGCTCTGGAGCCACTGGTGCATTGCCTCGAGGAATTCGATCCATCCGTCAAGGAGGCCGGCGCGTCGACGCTGGCCAACATCGCCAGGCACAACGCTCGTCTCGCCCAGGCCGTGGCGGACGCTCGAGCGATTGGATTCCTCATTCTTTGCGTCCAGGTATGTAAAAGCTCAGCAATCTCTTCTTCCATCCTGCTAAGATGAAACTCATGAACTTGTCAGGAACCCGAGATTGCGCTGCGAACAGCCGCAGGCACAGCGCTCTCGGAAATAGCAAAACATACCCCGGAGTTGTCCCAAGTTGTGATCGAAGCTGGAGCTACACCACACCTTGCCGCGCTCCTCACGCACAATGACTTCAGAGTAAAACGAGTGGTAAGTTTCTCTCGTCCAAACAAAGCTGGTAAAATTTACGTACCTCCTTGTCTACCAGGGTTGCTTGGCGCTCAGTCAGCTGGCCAGACACGTCGAGGATCAAGCAGAGGTTGGCCACGAGCACTTTCTCTCGCTGATCTTCATTTGGTTTCTAATCGTTGCTCTGTAGGCCGTTGTGGAGCAAGAGATCTTCCCCAAGATGTTCGGCTGCTTGAAAGACCAGGATCCCCAACTCCGAAGAAACGGAGCCACTCTGATACGCGAGGTCGTCAAGCACTCGGCAGCGCTCGCCCAGCTTGTTGTTGGCGCCGGTGGACTCTCCGTCTTGATCGAAAACATTTCGGACACTTTCGGCAACGAGCGCTTGCCAGGTACTCTCTTTTTTTCCTGTCCAGTTTCCTGCCACCTTTCTTTTTGTCCTGTGTTTCCTGCCACCGCAAAGTAACCAACGCCGGGGACTGTACAGGTATAATGGCTGTCGGCTACATTGGCGCCTTCGACGAGATGCTGTCCAGCTCGGTCATCGCGTCAGGCGGCGTGGCGGCGATGGTGTGTGCACTCGTTCAGGAGCACGAAGACCACATCAAGAGCGCGTCCGCATGGGCTCTGGGACAGATCGGCAAGCACGGCCCCGTCCACGCTCTTGCCGTTGCCGAGGCCGGAGCGCTCCCACACCTGGTCGCCACCTTCCTGTCGAAGACCAGCAGTGAGGACCTCCAGTCCAAGTGCAAGAAAGCTCTCAAGAACCTCTCGGACCGTCTGAGTCACCTCCCCGCTCTGGATTCGCTGCTACAGGTACGTCCATCTTGTTCTTTGAGCTTCTTCGCTGAGAGACTGTCGGGGCTTTGTCACAGGGACCAATGCTGCCTGAAGGTATACTCAAGTACGTCCTAGGCTCTCTCGCGAAGGTGTTGGCCGCGGATAGTGATGCCAGAGCCAAGTTCGTGACGTCTGGCGGCTTTGAGAAGCTCCAGAACCTGGCAGCCGAGCCGGGCACGGAGCTGCGCGAGTGCATCGACCTCATCAACAGCGTCTACCCGGTGGAGATTGTCCACTACTACTCTCCAGGATACTCGGAAGTCCTGCTGAAGAAGCTTACTGGTGCGAAGCCAGCCATCCCCGTAGGCTGAGAGGCGAAAAAACTTTGTCGAGCTGGTTGAGCTCCACGGCTGAGCTTGTAAGTGTAAATGTGTGGCAAAAACGTCGAGTACGAGTTCGTCATCTCGGTCTTTTCAAAACGGGCATTCCTTCACCTCACTTCGCCTTCTTCCTCCTCTTCTTCGATCCACCCCCCTGTTCCTGTTCGTGCCAGTTCCTGGACTTGGATCCCCAGCGATGGTGCTTTACGTCTGTAGAACCTCACATTAGACTCGGCCAGAACCAATCCTTTTGCTGCCACCAGCTTTTCCGCAACAAGCTCGTCAACCGTGATTTCGGCGACGGGGGTCCGATTTTTCCAGAAAAACTTCTTCACAGCCCTTTGGAATTCCTCCAGCACGCCTTCGCCAAGAACCGCTCTAACCACGAGTTCGCACACTGCTCCCGATAGAGCCCTCGAATCCAGCGTCAGCGGGAATCCAGTGAAGTTCAAAACGCAGGTGCTGGTGCCCGACGTGAAATTCTTGGGCCTATAGACTGCTCCCGGCCAAATGTAAGTGGGAGGCCTGTGTAGTGTCAACGGCAGCTCCTTGTGGCAGAATTCTCGCGTGAATCTGATATAAGCGGACATTAGTGCATCCGCATCAGCATCCGATTGAAGAAAGACTAGTGCCTTGGGCTCTTGCCCCACCCAGCTTATCCTCGTGATGCAATCTGCCACGCTTTTTTCTGGTTGCAACTTCTTCATCCCCTTCCGCAGCAGCATCCTGAGCTTGGTAGGATCATAACGGGAAGTTTCAGTCGGCAAGTTGACGATGAAAAGAGTTTTCTGCGCGTGAGGCTGGAATGGCCTCAGGACCCGGCCAGCCACAAACAACCTGTCCTTGCTGCTCATCAGAGCGCTCGCAGCCTGCTCTTCGAGTATTGCAAAGCAGCAGCCCTCCCTGAAAAGCACGTCTCTGAAAGGAGGCTTGCCTTCTTCCAGCACGCTGGTTCTCAAAAGCACCGTCTCCAGGGCCTCGGCCAGTGCACATCTGAACTGTCTCTCGGCAACCGTGCAAACTCGACACCCGTCGAATTGCAGCACTTTGTAGATGCTTGATGATGCACCGGTCTTGTACGCCGCACGAGGTCGCTGGTAACCTTCTGGGCGAAACAACGAGAACTTCAAGTCATCCAAGGAGAACTCTTCTGTAGCCCGGACATAAATTTCCATGAGACGGTTGGCCATATCCTCGGAAGAGAATATTACCCGCCCTCCATCCGCTGCAGCATCCCACTTCACCTGGAATTTCAGGTCCGCTTCACTTGTATAATTCTTGTGCTTTCGAAAGAGACCGACGAGCAGCTTCTTCAACTGTTCAGAGTCGAACGTTTCTTTTTGGAACCCCCCAAGCATGATGGACACTTGGTGAAGGCCCCTCTCAGCCACTTGTCTTTGCCCAGCCCCAGAAAGTCCTTGCATGTGTTGAACTTGACGGTCAATGTTGGATGTAACACGAGCTAAGGGTCTTGCCTCCGGAACTCTATCTTGCTGTTTGCCTTGTGCTGCATGTCCTAAATCGAATCGCACGGAACGCTGCTTCTCCGTCGATGGACACTCTCGCACCTTTGTGTTCTTTGTCTTCGCTGGGCTTTCCTGTTGTTGAACGCTACTCAGCTTAACTGGTTCCTCCCGGTTTTGTTGCTCAAGGTTACTCCCCTTCTGTCTTCCCTGTTGTTCAAGGCTACTCTGCCTCTGCATCGATGGACAGTCTCGCACCTTTGTGTTCTTTGATCTCAAACCGCCTGGGCTTTCCTGCTGTTGAACGCTACTCAGCTTCTCTGTTTCCTCCCGGATTTGTTGTTCAAAGCAGACTCGCTCTTCAAGGTTTCTCGCAGTTCTCTGGCGGCATTGTTGACTTGCTGGCGAGACATCACTCTCCTCGGAAACTTGGAAAGGCTCTCGCGACAGTGGTAGAGTCCTGACGCCACAGCAGATCACCAAGTTCTGATCGATGTCTGACGTGATGCTTCCATCCAGCTTGCAACTGTAGAAAAGCTTCTCAACTGCTGCTTTGTCTGTGAATTCGACATACGCTGCCGCTGGCAAAACGTGGACAGAACCCACCACCTTTGATGTCAAGTCCCTGTTCAAGACCCCACTAAAGTGGGCTTCTAGCTTGTCCCCGTCCTCCCAACTTGGAGGAAGACCACTGAGGTACACAAACTTTGACGACACCTCCAGAGATCGTACTACGTTTACCACGTTGTTTCCATGCCCCTCAAACTGCCTGCTCGCTGTGTAGAGCCTTTCCAGCGCAAACCTTTTCCCGGCGATGGAGAAAGGCGAGCTCGTCTCGTCGCGACAGACCTGGAAGAGCAGCTCGGCCATGAGCTCCGTGTAGAACACCAGGATGGCCATGTCGCCCTCGACATGCAAACAGTAGAACACCTTCTCCACAAACTCGTCACAGGGCGGGAAGAACCGGAAGCGCTTGCGAAGAATGTCGTCGGCGAGCTCCTGCAAGGCCTCGGGGCAAGTGTGCTTCTTTGACAGCGCACGCACCACGAGAGAGTAGGAGCGCTCCTTGATCGCTGGCCCGGGGAAAAAATCTGGTGCTTGAGCTGTCGCCGCCGGCTCGAAAAATCTGGCTGCTACCGCCTTGGGCAAATCCGGCATCGCCGCTGGCGGGCCTGCGCTTAGAAATCTGTGAATCTTTCGGAATCAGCGCCGGCTTTCCAAGCGTTTGGTTCTAGCTAGGAACTGGTAGACCAAGTTACCTTGACGATCGGAAATATTTCGCCCTCTCCCCGGATTACGACGATCGCGCAAGCACTGCCGCCGGGCGCCGATGTCCATCCGCCGCTCCAAGAACTGCCACTCCCCGATCGCGATCGTGAGAGAAAGAACGCAAGAACGCCGATTCCCGGCGGGGATTTTCACCTGGAGCCCCGGCGCTGCTGATCCGCCGGGCCTGGAATCGGCGCTCGCGGCGGACGCTAGGCGGCAGCGGCGGCATTCTTGGACGGGAAGAAGAAACCTCCGCCATTCGGTTGTCGCTGGCGCGGCGCGTCCGTGGTACCTAGCGGCATTTCAATGTAAAACTAACAAACACGCAAAATGGGAAGCCCTCACAGCTATACCGTGCCATCTTTCTCCATAGCATAGCAGGGAAGGAATCTTGGTGATGCAGACATCTACGGCAACGGCATATACCCCTTCGTTTTAGACAGAATATCCTATCTTGACATACTCCGGGCACGGAATATCCTTAGACCTAATAGCATATTCTTTCCCTTTTCAAGCAGCAGAATATCCCCTCCGTTTGGGTAGAATATTCGCTCTCATTTTTCTTCCTCTTCGATCCAGCCTCCAGTTCTACGAGGAGATCCTTCTTCTCCTTCGCGAAAAACCGTGGCGTCATAGAACGAAATGTGGTGCCCGGCCAGCGTCAATCCTTTGACATCCACCAGCTTGGCGGCGACGTCCTCCTCCACGATCAAGCTCGCAAGTTCGCTCCCCTTCTGCCAGTAGAACCGCTTGAAAGGCCTCTCGCCCTGCTCCAGGATGCCATGCTTCGCCAGCGCCATCTCCAGCAGCTCGTTCACGGCCCCCATGAGTGGGATGGGATCCAGCCCCGGGAAAATCCCCGCGACGTGAACTTGCCACAGCTCTGGTTGCTGATGATCATCGCCCCAGCCCGGCGGAAGATCTAGATCGATCTTCCTGTCCCTCTTCCTGTAAGTTGCTCCAGGCCGGACGTAGCGCTCGTGGCGGAAGATCACCAGCGGCATGTCCCACACGCAGAAGTCGAGCGTGAAGTTGACGTAGGCGCTCATGAGCGCGTCCGCGGCGGCCTCGCTGCGCAGTGTCACCCTGGCCACGCTGCGACCTGACCACTCGATCCGCTCGATGGTGCTGCGGTGGTCGACGCTCATCTTCGCCAGCCCCGACGCGAGCAGCTGTCCGAGCTTGTCGAGAGTGTTGCCGACGGCCTCCGGGAGCTCGGCCACGAACAAAGTCACCTGGACTTTGGAAGTGTAGATGGAGAGAGGCCGGCGAGCCACTGTCAAGCCGACGCAGGCTGAGACGAGAGCGTTGGCCACCACCTCGTCCAGTACCGCCACAGCCTTGGTCTCGAAGTTCGTGAAGCTCTTGAAGAGAGGTTTGCCTTTCTCCACCACCCCGTGTTTCAGGAGCATCCTCTCCACGGCCTCCACGAGAGCTCCTTTGAGTTGCTCGCGGTGCAAGTGAACGCCTAGCCCGTCGAAGGTGACGGCTTTGCCATCGGTTGACAGGTTGCCTTCTCTGTAAATCGCGCCTGGTCGATGGTAGCCTTCCGGTCGAGACAACCAGAACCTCGAGCTGTTCAAGTAAAACTCTTCCGGGAACTGCATGTAGTTGTCCAGAAGGCGATCCACGGTGTTCTCGGAAGAAAAAGCGACTACCGCCTCTTTCGGAGATCTCCACGAAACCTCCGGTTCTGCATCGCTGTGGAGCTGGAACTTTCGAAGCATGCTCGAGAAATGGTATGCCACTCGCTCCGAGTCGAACTTCTCCCTGGTAAGTCCTCCGATCACTAGCCCGCATTGCCTGAGCCTGAATTCTCGTCTCTGTCTTTGCATTTCTGGCGGAACTGCTTCTTCCCACACGACCCGGCAGCCCCTCTGCGTTGGCGGCTCCCAAACTACTTGACGGCAGCTCGGACCTGTCGCTCGGGGAGATGGAGTTCCGCATTCCATCGAGTCATCGATGTGCACGTTTCGGATAATCTCCTCGGGCGACCGCAAAGCTTCGCCTTGCTGCTCAACTTGAGGAGTTGACGTCCTTGCCGCTGGAGCTCCTACCTTGTCAACTTGTTTTTCCAGATCCTTGAGTTGCACTGTCACCTTTTCTCTAGTTGAGCTTGCAACTTCACGCCGCTTCCCCGCCGGAGTGCTCGTCATTGTCTCCGTAGCGCAAGAATCCTCCAAAGTTTTCCTCTTCTCTTCGAAAACAACCTCTTGCTCTTCTGCTGATGCGTCACTCGACTGGCTCCTCCGACCTGGGACCACTCTCCACAGCGGCAAAATCTTCCCGGAGCAAATCACAACCTCCTGGCCAATGTCCGTCACGATCCTCGCGTCTTGCTCGCACCGAAAGAAGAGCCTGTCAATGGCTGCCTTGGACGTACACTCGAGATACGCGGCCCCTGGAAAGACCCGGACCGATGTCACAACTTTGAATGGAAAGTCGCTCTCCAAGAACCCATTGAAGTATCTTTCGAGCTTGTCCGCGTCCTCCCATTTCCGTGGAACTCCGGCTAGAAAAACGAACTTGGACGCTGGGACTGGCCCTGCCGCTGCTGCTTCCGCCAGGAAATTCTCGATCATTCGGCACTGCTCGCCTGACCGATCGTAGATCCTCTCCAGCGAGAACCTCTTGCCGGCGATGGAGAAAGGCGAGATCGTCTCATCGCAGCACGCGAAGAAGAGAAGCTCCGCCATGAGCTCCGAGGAGAACACCAGGATGCCCATGTCTCCATCGACATGCAAGCAGTAGAAAACCTTCTCCACGAATTCGTCACAGGGCGGGAAGAATCGAAAGCTCTCCCGGAGAATGCCGTCGGCGAGCCGCTGCAAATCTTCGGGGCAAGTGTCCTTCTTGGAGATCCCGCGCACGATGAGAGAGTAAGATCGCTCCTCCTCTCGAAATATCGGCGCTCCCTCTGCCAAAGCATCCGGCTCGCGAGGATGTGTGCCCGCCGCAAGCCTCTCCAGCCTCTTCTGGAATGCGAGCATGAAAATCTGTTCCTCGATACCTCGATCGCGCAAGAACTACCTCGATCCCCTCGATCGCGCGATCGCAGTGGATTCTCGAAGATTTTCGTCGCCGCGAGCAAACATTCCAAGATACCTCTCTTTCCCGCACGCGAGCCCGGACAATCGGGATCGCGAGTATTGTAAAATCATCCAAAAAGACCTAAAGCCTGCCCTCCTTAAAAACTCGCACAGCCATTTGTCCATAGCTCTCCTAATGACTAGCACGCTTCACAGCAGGCATATTCCAAGAACATAACGTCCCACAGCCAGAATATAACACGAGCCGGAATATATCACGAGACAGAATATACGAAGAATCAAAATATACCAACCACGGTATTAGTGTTCCTATTAATCAAACCATAGTTTTGTTTTACATAAGCAGCCCGCTCGCTTCAACAGCTCTTTTTTTTTCTCGTGTTTGTTCTTCACGACGCCTTTCTGCGTGAAACCAATCAACCTGTATACACGAAAACCGCATTAGCTCCAAATGCTCTCTCTCACCTACACATTTTTTACACATGAGAGTATCACCCTGAAAAACCTGCACGCTTCAAGAAAACTTTGGAGACGAGGAAAAAAGAAAACGAGGAAGACCAGAAAAAAAAGGATACCTGAGAGACAAGCAGCAGCTATAAAAAAAAATCCTGTTATGTTAGTATCAACCTGGAGAGAATGCAAAGGCAAGCAGCCATGCAGGGACCAAGTAGAAGAAAGCAAAAAAAAGGCCTGCTCGGGAATGGAAAAAGCCCGGAAGAACAAAGAAAAAACCGGGAGAGAGGGAAGAACAGGCAAGACCAAGCAAGCAAAAAATCCAAAAGTTTTGCACATCAAGGTGGTGCCCTGCACACCTGCACAGAGTGGAGATCTGTGAGCTATGTTTGATGCCACCTGCATGAAGGAAAGCAAGGATTTTCAAGAGAAACCAACCAGAGAGCGTTGCGATTCACTCGGCGCCGTATGGAAGCTGGTTTCCATTCGCTTCGCCGCCACCGCCGCCTCCGCCGTGCTCCTCTCGCTCCCTGTTCCATTGCTCGATCCTGGCTCGCCTCTCCACGCTGCCTTCCCGGCCGCCGCGCGATCGAGGACTGCGGCTGCGGCTGCCATCTCGCCTCCGCGGTCGATCGTACCTGCTGTGATGATCGTAGTTACCTCCTCGATCATCGTACCTCCGTCGTCGATCGTCGTAGTGGCGACGGTCGTCTTGCCTGCGAGGACTCATGCTGCGGCTTCTGCTGCGTCCTCCTCGTCTTCTGTAGCCTCCAAACAGCCGCCTCCGTAACTCTCTGCAGCAGAGACAATGTCACAAGAACAGGAGTCAGAAAATAAAAAACAGTTTTTGGATGACCAGACCTTCCAATGCGTCGCAAGTGCATGAAGTTGCAGTAGCCTCCACGGTTACAAGTGTTTTCTTCGTACTGACGACATGTAGCTTCTCGAAAATCGGTCACAGGCGAAAAATCAACGATGATGGGTCGACCTGCAAAGAAAAACATTTTTGAAAAAACAGGAGAGAAGAGGAACACGCAAACCTGCATAGAAACGTCCTGATAGTGCCTTCAGAGCCGCAGCAGCTTCTTCCTCCTCCCTAAATTGCACATACACATTTCCAACCTGAAAGGAAGCAACGAAGAAAACAACGAACAAAAACAAAAAACAAAAAAACAAAGCATCAGAATAAAAATGAGAAACACAAGGCTTACCATATGGTCTGCAAGATTGTCGCACACATTGAGGCTTTCAATCTCCCCATACTTGCTGAGCTCCTCAAACATATCCTCGTAAAAGTCCTGCCAAGCAAACAAAAACGAAAAAAGAAAAAATTGAGACCCACAAAGCAAATCTCAAGAAACCACTCCAGTACCTCAAAATGCTCCTGGATTTTCTTCTGATCCATCGTCTGCCCATTCAGATCCATCCCCGGCGTCGCCATATCCGGCCTCTGGTACATATTCGAGAGCAGCAGCGTGGGGCTGATTGTGGGCTTGTTGTGGAGCCTGGAGCAGCGGTCGCCATGGCGGCAAGCACCGATCTTGAAATAGAAGGGGCAGTTAACGCGATCCTTCTCTGTGCCGAAGATGGAGGCGAGATGCTCCGCCATCGCCGAGAGCTGCGTAAACCCTAGAACAACCCTCCCAACGCGTTTGACCTAGAGGACGCCACCGCCACACGATCCAGCCACAGTACTGGATCACGGGCGCGACGTCACCGCGCGGGGGAATATACCGTTACCGCCCATTAGAATATTCTATGTTACAAAGCGTACACCTCATCCTGTGGTGTTGAATGTGAATTCCTCGTTCGTCGTGAGTTTGTCGCCCTTGTTCTTCCCAAGTGATGGGACATCGTCCTGGAAGTTGAAGCTCCTGGTGGAAGAAGTTCTCTCCACTGCGAGATCGTCAGAGATTGCGAGCTCCAAGCTTCCATCGATCTTCTCTCCACTGCCGAACGAATCCATCTTTCCATCGCTCTCGCTCGAGAGCGAGTACCTGGAGCTCGTCACGCTCACCATCTGTCCCTCCGGCGAGCTCGAGGATCGGTCCAGGTTCTCGGCGGGACGAGGGCGATCGCGAGCGCGAGGGCGAGATGGCGACGCTGGCTTCACGTTTGTCCCGCCGGTCCAGACCATGAAGTAGAAGTCGATCGGCTCGCGAGCTTGCCTGTGAGATGAGATCTTCTCACTGATGGAATGAGCGTTGAAGCACCGGATGGCTCCCGAGGCCGAGACGAACCACGGCGTCACCTTCTCGCCAGCAACGCGGGAGACGACCAAGAGCTTGTTTGCTGAGCATGCCGCGTCGTAGATCTTTCGTAGCCCCGCTCGATCGGCCGCTGTTCCTATGTCTACCGATGAAACATAGCAAAATCCCTGCGAGAAAAAGTTCAACTTTAGCGCAGTTGGAGATCACTTCTACGCACCTCTTCTGTGCAAGTGATATTGACACCGAGCCGAGCTTCGTCATCGGTGGGCTGGAGTGTGATCGCGATCTCTCCTTCCGGTGGAGAGTACCAAAGCCTGATTGCCCGAGTTACATTAATTTCGGTACCTTCTAGTTCATGCAATGGATACATTCCCGAGTTTACCATCCCCAGAGGGTCCTCGGGATTGCTCGATCCAAAGTATTTCGACGTTGAGGACTGATACCAGAGATCAGCTTTGAAACGATAGAGAAAAAAGGAGAAGGAACTGGCATACCTGTAGAAACATTGGCTCGCTCTGGATATTCACAAAGATCACTGGAACGCCGGAGCTCTGCGAAGCCGACAGCCACGCCATTGCTCTAGCTGTAGTGTTCTCGAGATCGCCATCGCCACCCTCGTTGGCGCGTTGGAACGGCATCAAAATGAGCGAGAAAACCATGGCAGAATTGGGCGATGGGAGGAACTGGTGCATTTTGGATTGCCATGGATAGGAGATGAGCCGGTCCTTTATGGAGACTTGCTGGGAGACGCAGGGCCTCTTGAGCTTTTCCATAAGCCTTCTAGTCTGGTCTGCAAAACTAAGTAAAGTTCCATCAAATCACACTGTTCTAGGCAGTCGAGCAAGAAAAAAATCCAAGTAGTACCTTGCAGAGCCACGCATTCTTCCTCGGTAGAGTCCATGAGCAGTGCGACGTAGTTCTTCTGGACGGGATCCGCAAACAAGTAGAGCTTCTTGCGCATCATCGCTTCCTCCGAGACAACACACACGCTCAAATCGACCTTAGTACCTCTTCGCTTCACTCTCGCCAGTGCCGTCTCGTTCGCCTTGTGGATCTTCCGGAGCTCGCGCTGCAAGCCATACTTCCCGTCCTTGAAAGGCGCGCTGGCAAAGACATTGACCTCTTGCTTCACCGCCGTGATCTGCTCGATTACATCCCCGGGCAGCAATCGGCCCTCGCTCCAATCCTCGGCGCCGCAGCCAGTGATGGATTTCACGGCCACCAGCGCCTGCCTCTCCGTCGGCCCTCCCATGGAGAATCAAGATCGAGCAAAATGCTCATCCATCCAGCCTCCAAGCTCCGCGGTAGAAAATTCCCGAATTCCTGCGAGACGAAGTAGCCTGGAAATCAGCGCACAGGGATCGAGAAGAGGATTCCCCTGGCCCTGTTCGCCGCCATAGCCGTGCCGCACTGCCGGGCAGAGACGCGTTTGAAAAGTACTAGCACTAAGGTTTGGGCCCAAGATACTTTTCTTTAAATCCGGTTTAGGGTTCGAATTCTTTGACGAGCACTTGGGGGCTTTGCCAGGATTTCTAGGGTTCTTGGGAGCTCGCGCGCGAATCAAATATTTCCAGGGCTTGTGCTAGCGCCTTGATTTCCAGGGCTCTTGGCGCGCCGATCGCCACAATGTTTAGCGTCAAGGTTCACGAGATAGGGGATCACTCGGTGCCGTCGGAGTTGCCGGATTGGATCGAGACCCTGAGGTTTTCTTCCGGGAATCCCAGAGTGGAGACTACACGCGGCGAAATGCATCTCTTCCGCAACACGGCAGCCCAGCCAGGAGCGATCGGAGCATTGCCGGTGAGTTTTTGGTGAAATTTTCCACGAGATTCTAGAGCTTCGTGGGACTCTTTCTATAATTTCCGTGTGACTACGCACAGAGTGGTAGAAATGAGCAACTGTGTATCCTTGCAGTGCCTAGCCTCATGACTGGCGCTGACCTTTGTCAGTTCACGGGCTCGTTCTTTCAAAGCATCAAAGAGATGCGGATCGTCAGGTAGTGTCACAAGTTCTAGTCACTGACTTAATGAAAATTTTCGGTTTTTTTTTTTTTTCTCTTTGGTGAGCAGGAACGAGACAAGCAAGGACAGATACAGTGTTGTGATGAAGTTTGAGGATCAGATCTCTGCCGATGAGTTCTTCAGGCATTTCAACGGGCGACCATTTTCATCACTTCAGGTGAGAGATAGAAATAAAATCGATGGCGCATGACTTGAATTTCTTCTTCTCCAGGAACAAATTTGTCATGTTCTTTTTGTAGCTGATGTTCAATACACTTCTTCCGGCGGGGATGCATCCTCTGCTCCTTCGGGGCTGACTGAACTTCCAAGCTGCGCTGTCTGCCTAGGTGAGTGATGACTCGCTCTCCTTTTTTCATGTAGTTTTATCCTGAAATTGCGTCACGTTCGTTCTCTTGGCAGAGAGACTGGATCAACATGTTAGCGGAATCTTAACGACTGTTTGCAATCACTCGTTCCACACATCTTGCATTTCCAAGTGGACCGATTCTACATGTCCGGTATGACTTGATCAACTTATGAACGCAAATATTTTAATGCTTGCATTCATTGCAGGTTTGTCGATACTGTCAAGAGAAATACGAAAACTCGACGTGCTCCGTTTGCTCCACTGCAGACAATCTTTGGATCTGTGTTATATGTGGCTTTGTTGGTTGCGGAAGGTACGATGTTTTATAGAGTCCCTGCGCTCGAATGTCATTTTTCTGTCATAGATACGAGGAGGGCCATGCTATAAACCATTGGAGAGAAACTCAACATTGTTACTCACTTGAACTAGAAACGCAGCGGGTATGGGACTACGTGGGAGACAACTACGTTCACAGATTGATCCAATCCAAGACTGATGGAAAGCTGGTGGAGCTTAATGCTCCGTGTCAAGACGCAAATGCCAGTTGCGAGTGCAGCGGCGGGATGGATTTTGCTGAAGCTATCAGTCGGAGCAAAATCGATGCAGTAAGAGTATCAGCATGAAGTTTTCGACTAATTTCTTTGTTGAACCTTGCAGGCGAAGTACGATTACGAGCACCTCCTAAGCGTACAGATGGAAAGCCAGCGACAGGTAATTATTCATTCATATAGATTCTGGCAGTTCGGTAATTTATGTATCTTGTTTCGCAGCATCATGAACTTTTAATGGCTCAAGCTCTAGAAGAAAGAGCGAAAAGTTTCAAAGACCGAGAAAAGGAAATCGAGAGAGGCATTTCCTTGAAACTGCAAACGATGCAAGATACAATCCGGAAAGCAGAGGAGGAGAAAGCATTCCTCGAGCAGGTGTTTCCTTGCTTTCAAGGTGTGGAAGTCTCTAACATATCGTCGTGCAGATGAACGAATGCCTCCGGAAAAACCAAGAGGAATGGAGGACAAAGTATCGTCAGCTAGAAGAGAAGTACGTTTTTTGTTTAGCGAACAAGCCATAACTATGCTCTCTCTTGCAGCCAAGCACTGCTGATCAAGGAGCGGGACAACAAAATTCGGGATCTGGAAGAGCAAGTAAGGCTTCTTTCTCGTCTCACAAGCTTTTTCTCTCGTGACTTTAAGGTGTGCACCTCCTTGCAGGTTCGAGATTTCATGGTGTTCATAGAAGCACAGAGGACGATTTCTAAGCACAGTGAGATGCAACAAGGTAGCGTCCTTGTGGGTGACTCAAGCTCTGAGAAGCTCAAGGTGGCTCGAAACAGGCGAAAGAGATAAAAGGCTTTGGTGTGTAATGATCACACCCAACTTCTAGGAACTCAGAACTCTGTAGGAATAGATAATGACCGACCAAGTTTGATTTGATATCATCAGCTGAGTTGAGGTTACCCTTAGAATTCCTCAAGTCTCCCAAGCACTCCTTGCAATCAGCCAAAGTTGGCATGGATCTGGACATCATCTGCAATTAGATGGTTGAATACTAAGTCCAGCTCATGTTTCCTTATTTGGAAAAATGTAACTGTGAGAATATTTAAATTTTAATTACCATAGCTTAAGATCTTTTATATTAACCCTAAACCCTAAACATTTGGTTTTATGGTTGATTCTTGCAATTAAATTTCAAGCTACATATGCAAAATCTAAAAGAAATTGAATTCTTGATTTCATGCTTTTTGTTGTTTGTTAATTAGTAGATTGTGTTTTTCTTGTTTTGGTGTAAAGTAAAAATTGAGAGAGAGAACTTGTGACTTTCTCTTTTTGCTGCCAAAAATTTATAAATTCTAGTTTTAAAATATGCTTGAATATTTTAAGATATTTTACCAATTTTTTAATTTATAATTTATAAAGTTTTAGAGTATATTATTTTTTCCTAATAGTTTATAACTTTCGACCTAAAAACATTTTAACACTTTAAATGAGTTTTATAAAAGAAAATTAATTTTACATTATATTATAGACAAATAAAATATATTTTTACATACTGTTAAATATAAAAGAATAAAGTTAAATTATAAAATCACTCATAGTGATTAAGTGGATCTCTAATGATTACTTGAATCTCATTTCTCATCTCACAAGTTTTTCTCTTATAACTTTAAAGTTTGCACTTCTTTACAAGTTCGAGATTTTGTGGTGTTCATAAAAGCATAACAGAAGACAATTTCTAACCACATTAAGATGCAATAAGGTAGTGTCCTTGTGGGCAACTCAAGCTCTAAGAAGTACAAGGAAGTTAGAAACAGACGAAACAAATAAAAATTTAAAATTGATGGTCACCAAGATGGTTTGATAAAAGAGAAACATAAGACAATATAAAAAATATCTTAGCATATTTTATTTTCTTTAGGGTTTATTGCAAGATCATTACATTGTGGTATTCTTCTCCAAGAAGAGGATCTCCTTGGCACATCGTCCGTCCGCATCTGGGTTGCTAGATTATCCAAATCCGCAAATCATGTGGTTTATTTTGCTATTTAATATTGTGGATTCCATTGTGAAGCTTAGAAAAAGCATCTGGTTGAGTCTATGACCACTTCTTGACATCTTTAGCCAAAGAGCAAAAGCACACGAGGTATGCTTTGTGTGAGCAGTTTTTCACTGTTAAAGTGTTCTATTCCCCAAATGGAAAGGAATGCTTGTGGGTGAAAAGCTTCTGACACAACTTGTAAATTTGTGGTGTTTGTGTTCTTAACTTTATTCATTAGGCTGCTGCATTTCGTCGCTAGAAGAGACCAGCAATTCGTCTTTGATCCTGCATGTTACAGGTAGAAGAAGGTTAGCCTTTCTCGCTGAGCTAGATGTCCAACGACTTTCTGTGTGGAATAAGGTAAAGACTGTGTAACTTATTGATCGCTTTCACTTCCCGTTGAAGATTGGCGACCCAGATGCTTTGAGAGCAGAAGCCAAACGACAAAGCGTAACCGGAGAAGGCATTCAAGATTTTTTTACACGAAACTCAAAGTGACAAATGTCCACTCTTTTATATGGAACACAAAGGACACAAAGATGTTTTGTAGGATTTACTTGTGCGACTTGAAGAAATGGTCCTGTATAGCAAAGGGATCTCGTGAATATGATCCACAGTTGTGGAACATGAGGTAATTGTCTGTTTCGTTTGTTGGGAATTAATCAGAACTTTCTGACCTTGCAACACCGCTTGAGGAACATGACCGAGAGCTTATGTTCCTCTTGCACTTTCCAAACAGCTGCTGGAGCACCGTGATCAGGTTCCATATGTGTGGTTTCGAGTGAAGCATACCTTGATTTTACATTTTGAATCCAGGTGAGCTTCAATTTGATGCTGCATGCACCACGAGCTTATCCTTGGCAGCCCGACAAAGTGATGGTCTCTACCTTTGCTGCCATTCGGGAAAGCGAGGCGCTGTGCCTGGCTTTTGCGGATTACGCTTATAGGAGGTACGTGTCTCCAGGCACCAAGGAGCTAGGAGACGCAGTTGCAACGCTGGAAGGTCGGGAATGGGAGCGTGCAAGATATGGTCGTTCCTCGTGATCGATGCGTAAGAACTTACGACTTGTTAGTCGATGACTTTGACAGGTCTGGAAGACGTGAGACTCGACGCAACTCTCTCTGAGCTCTACGCTGCTGCTACGGCCGCCGCCAGTGGCCGCATTGCAGTGTTCGTGGAAACCTTCTCAAATCCGTTGGTTACAGTTGCGGACGTTCCAGTGATTTCGAAGTTATGCAAGAAGTATGGCTGTTCTCCTATTTCGTGGACAATCCCTGTGCTACTCTCGTCCAGCTCAAGCTGCTAATGCAGGTTGTCATTTGATTAGTGTTAGAGTTCTTAATTCTTTTCTTCTTCTTTTGTAGGAGCGGATATGCACTCGTTAGACCATCCGAGTACGTGAGTAGTGCCGGCAGGAATTGTTGCTGGCTGGGGTCTAGCTGCCTCATCATTCGACTCATGGCTCGTACTGAGGGGAATTAAAGCTCTGGAAGTAAGTGAAATACTCTCTCGCTTCGTTCCAAAGTTTCTAGTTTGCTGCTCTCGTGTTATCTCACTCTGGACTTCACAGGTCCGAATGCAACGACAGTGGCACCAGCATTCTTTCTCAGCAATTTTGCTGCCTCTTCGAGTTCACGCGGCACAAGGCTGCTCGATTGTTGCGCTCGAAGTTCCAAACGGACTTGATGGAGCCAGCAGTAGACAATAACGCTGTGTCCGGCGTCACTACCAGTCTCCCACTCGGCAAGCTCCTCGCAGTCCTTCCTCAGATAACCAGCGGAATGCTCTGGGAATTACAGAAAGGATCTCTGGCAGCCTGATGTTTGGCCGTGGCAGCCAGCGATACCGTAATTAGAATTTGAATATTCTCACATATATTTTCCGAATAACCATTCACTAGGAAACATGAGCTAGACTTCGTATTCAACCATCTGATTGTAAATGATGTCCCAATGCATACCAACCTTGAGTGATTGCAAGGAGTGCCTGGGAGACTTGAGGAATTCTGAGGGTAACCCTCAACTCAGCTAATGATATGGAATCAAACTTGGTTGATTATTATTTATTCCTAGTTCCTAGAAGTTGGTGTGATCTCTTACATTACACACCAAAGGCTTTTATCTTTTTCGCCTATTTTAAGCTGCCTTGCATTTCTCAGAGCTTGAGTCGCCCACAAGAACACTACTTGTTGCATCTCACTGTGCTTAGAAATTATCCTTCTATGAACACCATGAAATCTCGGACCTGCAAGAAGGTGTACACCTTAAAGTCATAAGAGAAAAGCTTGCGAGACGAGAAAGAAGCCTTACTTGCTCTTTCAGATCCTGAATTTTTGCTGTCTCACTCCTTGATCAACAGTGCTTGGCTGCAAGAGAGAGTGTAATTATGGCTTGTTCGCTAAACAAAAGATGTACGTCTCATCTAGCTGACAATATTTTGTCCTCCATTCCTTTTGGTTTTTCTAGAGGCATTTGTTCATCTACACGACGATATATTAAACTTCCGCGCCTTAAAAGCAAGGAAACACCTACTCAAGGAATGCTTTCTCCTATCTAGCATCATTTGCAGTTTCAAGGAAGTGCCTTTCTTAATTTCCTTTTCTTGGTCTTTGAAACTCTTCACTCTTATATAATGGATTTATATAATGGATTCAAATTCTTCACCAGATATTAAGGTGGAGTCATGACATTTTTGAACAATGGAGAATATGAACTTATTAATTTTTAAAAAAATGTTGGGATATAAAATAGTTTTAACAAAAATTATTTTGGAATATTTTAAGGATGAAATGTGTTGACTAAATGTTCTTAGAGGAACAAAACATGGTCTTCTAGCCAAATTGAGGAAGCAAATGAAATTTTTTACTTTCTTCAAGCAAGTTCTTCAACTTAGCATTAATTGATTAAGTCAATAAAGAAGAGATTGAGTTTTTGAAGGGTAAATTTGTCCATGGTGATAGAAAAGAAAATAATGTTATTGTCCAATGTACATGGTTCAAAAGCTATGTTCCATTAGGTGTCTACATAAAAACAATATAAATTCTATTGAAAAGTGGACAGCTTTTTAGTCCCAAAATATAATTGTTACATTGATATTAATGAAATGAAATAAGTTATCAGTGGTTTAGTAAAATTTATGCAGCCTGTACATAAATGTTTAATGGAACATAACCTTGCAACTACACACATTAAATAATAAATTTGTTCTTTTTTCTATCACCATAATTAAATTTACTTTTCAAAAACTCAATCTCTTCTCTATTGAGATCCACAATCACCTTAAGTAATTACTACTGGGTCAAAAAAATTACTTGAAAAAGGCAAAAAATCTCATTTGCCCTTTAGTTTAGCTAAAAGATCATGTTTTACTCCTTCTAAAAACAAGCATTAATTCTTATAACTTTTGCCATTGTGTCAATGAGATATGTGGAAAAGGTTTTTTATATTAACCCTAAACTCTAAACATTTGGTTTTATAATTGATTTTTGCAATTAAATTAAAAGAAATTGTAGTGTTTGATTCTATTAGAGAGAGAAATTTTGACTTTCTTTATTGCTTCCAAAAACCCTATAGATTTAAATTTTAAATATGTTTGAGTATTTTAAGATATTCTACCAATTTTATATTTATGATTTATAAACTTTTAGAATATATTCTTTTTTATCCTAATAGTTTATATGTATTCTAACTTTTGATCTAAACACAATTTTACAATTTTAATGATTTTTATAAAAAAATAAAAAATATATTTTACATTACCTTATAAATAATTTTTTATAAACACAGTTAAATATAAAAGAATAAAGTCCAACTATAAAAGCACTCATATTGTAAAAAAATTATTTAGTGATTAAATGGTAACATTATTTAGAAGCATTCATAATAACTATTATTTAGAGAGATGCAATTACATAATTATTCAAAAGTTTCATTATCGGGTATAAAATAAAGTCACTAATTAATATAAGTTTAGAATTGTCATAAGATTATTTTTGGCATATGATAATTGAAGATATAAGTGTCTCTGTATACCTAGCAATTTAATTTAGTTT